TTCGATAAATCGGTTCATTAAACGTCTATCGCCAATAACGTTATGCGGGTTAATTTTTTGTACGGGTTCCCGTATTCAGTGAAGCGATACAAATGGCTTTTAATTAAAAAATGCCTTATTATTAACTATTATTAGTGTTGCATGAGTTTTGGTATCAGGGGTAATAATAATTGCGATTTTAATAGTTTTAATTTTTACATTTAATACATTCTCTAACATCATTCTATATTGGGATAATTTGCGATCCCTTTTGATCTTAATTTTTTAATTGATGAGAAATTTAGTATTTTCAGAATTGACTAATTTCTTCGTACTTTTGAGTGGGAACTAAAAATTCCTCATTAATATGAAAATTCAGAATATACAAAATGGGCTAACATTTTCTGCAAGGTACAAAGTGCTCTAGTTTTAATTGTATAAATGAAAATAATAAGTAAAGTTCAGATAAACTGAGGTTTGCAGCATTTCAAGATCATTTGCAGTATTTCAAGATTCTGTTTAAGTTTTGGTTAATATTTTGCTAATTGTATTTTTAGCAGTTTTTTTTATTTAGTGACTTTTGGTGGAGTAAAGAAAGATCGTTTTACAAAATAAGTAGTACTTTAGTACTTTGCGAACTTTTGTTGATATTGAATATTTTTGTGAACGAAATTGGAAAAAGGAAAAAATAGTATAAAATGTTACATTTTACGTTGTAAACAAATGAACGCCGGTTTGGGTTTATTGAATATTTTTATAAAAGGTAAATTTTACTTGAACATGCGGACGCCTAAAATCGTCTATTAACTACCATTTCAATAAAAATAGTAGAAAACGATGTTCAAGACTGCAAAAAAAGTCTATCCAATATTAAGTAAGGATGTTTTAAGTCGATATACATACATTATTATTATTTTAAATTTTGAATTATTTGATATTAGTTATTTTTTTATCATTATTAATTATTCGGTAATCATTATTTTTACGCCTGCACTTCTTATGCAGCAACTCGCATGTGTGGTTGACTTTTTGAGGATTTAAACTGGATCACCTTCATATACYAWGGTATCCAATAACACATTGGATAAAAGGCAGGTTGTAAAACTTACTAGAAAAATCATTTCAAAYCAGCTTGTTTCAAGAAAATATTGTTTTTTYCTTTAGAATAGTAAGGAGTCTTGAAACTATGCTAAGTTTATTTAAATTAATATTTTTTCTACTAGCYACGCCCTATTTTTCAAGRAGTTTCAAAAATTTTCATAATTTTGTTCTTTTCCTTGTCCAGGAAATAAATATTTTCAAATATATATTYTTCTGTTACAACAGGGACTAATGTGAAAATTTCTATTAACTTTCTTTSAAAGGTCAATACTTACCAAACAAGCAGTATTTAATTATTTTCTCTTTGCGTTGAAGAAAACTTGCCTCAAATATATTTGTTCATAAAATGTGTCATATTTTCTGCCGCAATAAAACATATTTTGATCTGAACACTCAAATACGTCCATAAGGGTCTTTTGTACTTACCATAATTCCTTGTTAACAACACAAGCATTAATTTAACTATTAACGAGTTATTAATACAGCAACTTACTGTGATTTTAACAAATATGACCTTTCGTCAATCCATACTAATCAGTACACTCTACAACAGTGAAAAAGTACGCCAAAAATGTTAGGCTTCCACAAACAATTCTTTATATAAGAATAATWAAAAATTAGAAGAATATCGTCCTGAGGTTCAGCATTTGAYCGTTGAAAAAAMCAACTCAAAGCGTAAAACATTCGTTTTCAGACCAATTTTTAAATTGCAAAATAGTTCAACAGAAATAGATAGAAGCGCATAATCTCAGTTTTCTACTTATTTAAAATTTTAATTTTATGCCTATTACCAAACCATGCAGGAAGTGAGATTCGGATTATTGAGGCTAGAATTTTTTAGTCTATACAAGATGTTTTTTTAATAATGTTCGAATATTTAATGGTGTGATACTAGCTTTCTATCCCATTTAAAGCCGAATTTGGCGAAGATTATTGATGAATTCTACATTTTTTGGCTACCTTAAAATCGTCCCAAAATTATTAAATTATTTATCTAAAATTGTTGATGCATTTCTGATGAAATCTAATTGAAAAATGGCAGTTTCGGAAATCCTCTATCTCCGAAACTCTGTTAATTTCTTTAGGAGCATTAAATCAACCCCAAAGTTTTGTTGTCAAAAGATAGTTTACTAAACGACTTATGTGCATGAAACAAACACTAATCGTCAATCAACATTTTTCTTTCCGCAGATTAAAAAACACCTAATAGATTATTTCCTTTTCGACATACTGAGGATTGAAAATTTTTGGTGCTAAAAGTTGCTGTTGTGGAATTTTCAAGTTGACAAATTATATCGACTTAGGCAATGGAAATAAATCCGAAGATGTCTTCATTCCAAAGTTACTCACATTGAATAAAAGCTAAACAAGTTGAAACGGTTTGCTTGGCGGACAAAAACTCCCACGAGATTTAATTTATCAACCGCTTTCGTCAATTCTTTATCGGTTTTATCGCTCTGAACCTCATTTAGCTTTTTCGTTTTGTAGTTGCAGTCAGTTCTAGGCCATGCAGAATAACCGAATTCCTGTATTTCAATGGCAATTAAACGCGTTGCATTTGCACATTTTAGATTTCGTAAAACCGCCCAGGAACTCCTGCTGAGTAAATTCCAGCCGCAAAACGTTTTAACCGTCTCGGCAACGTAAAATTGTGGGTGGCTGAAGATATGAGGACACCTGGTACATGTGAGGAAGTGGTGCATGCATTTTAACAGTTGAACGAGTGCTCGTGCGAGTTGGGCTAGTGCCGAAACCTAGACAGATTATAGAGATTTCAATTGGTTGGAATGCTCAAAAGCTTCAATTCTAAGATGGGACACCGCAAAGAATTTCTAAAAAATCGGTCTTGGCCTCTTAAAAGACAACCAGTATCGGGGTATGTACTTGTAGATCATATTTACGTTATTTCTTTTTATGCTGTGATGACTGAAAGTGATTTAAATTAAATTTGAACCCCCAAAACCGATTTCAACAACGAAGTCAATTTATTGTTAATCTTTCCTTGGCGAGATGTTATCAATTCAATTATCTTGACCTGCTCTAACTCAAACATCACTTTCTATTGTAATGTAATCAACAGGAATCAAAGTGATATTTGAGAAGAATCTACAAAACTGCCAGTCAATATTAAGTAGAAAAAAGAAAATTTACATAAAAGACATATCTTGTTGAGTTGTAGACGATTACCTTTTCCATGTCAATAGCAGACTAAAGGCTCTTAAAGATAACTATTGTTGTTAATACTACAGTTAATTTATTGAAAAATAAACAAAGTTTATATTTACGCTCGCATTGTTGCTGCAACAGATCACACAGTACCATAAAATAAGAGAGCAATACATGATTAAAGGTGTCTTGTAATGTTGAAATTCCAGGGCCAGTTTCTACACTAGCATATTAAAATTGTTAATTAAATTAAAAAGTCTTATATTGTTTCTAAAACCGTCAGTTTGTTTTAACACGTTTTCTTTGAAAATCATTAGAAAGAATTATTTTAGCTTCAAGTTGAACTATATTTTTCTATTCTTTTCAAGGAAAGTCGGGAATTAAACTACGTGCATATCAGAAAGTTTTCAAAATATTTCAGCTCTAATTTAATGTGCGAATTTAATTATTTTCAAATATTTACAGTTAAAATTGGACTGAGTTTCATGATTATTAAAATAAAGAAGAAAAGTGTTATTATTCTTGTTAGACTTCAAAATTGTCCATTTCTATGATTTCTTATATTAATTGTTTATTTAATGTAATGACATTATTAGAATACATTTCATCATATTATTGTAAGTTTTTTATTAAAATAAAAGTTAAGAACCGCTTTACGCACATTATATTTTATAAATTAAATTATTTTTCATTGTTTAAAATTTCTAAAAAACTAATATCACAATATAAACAATGACATTCACTAAAGAATCAGTAGTTTTTATTATTATTGGAGATAATTTCTCCTTTAACGCTTTAACTGAAAATAGAAATGACAGTTAAATTTTCGTCCAATTTTTTAAATTTATCTTCAACTTTCTTCTGAATACAAATAGATAAAATAATGCAATTAAGGTAAAACACAACAGAATCGATGTATAACATACGTGCATAAAGAAACAAAGATTAATATAAAAATTTATTGAAATTAAGAAGTTCAACAAGACAAAACAAGCTAACAAGAAAAGTACTTTTTAGTTATGCTTGCTAGATCTGCTGTATCAGAAAATAAACTCTCTCCGATTCCAAGCTTTGCAACATTTGCATTTCTTTCACTAGTTATTAACTAATTAATTTCAAAACAATCGAAAGTCATCAAAAAAGTTGATATCTATATTTTTCCCAATAGATATGTGGTTCGTCGAAAAATCAGCAGATACATTTTTATCTCGGAAATAGATAGAACAACATAATCTTAAGTTTTCTAGCAGTTGAAAATTTTAATTCTTCACCTGCTAGATACTACAAAATATTAGTATTGCCAGCACTTTTTAGTTTATACATACACACAGCTTTGATTTGTTTTTTCAACTGGTCAAGCCAAGACTAAATTTTGTTTTAGTTAATTTTTCCAAAATATTAAATACATTTTGGTCGTCGCACTATTGGTTGGAAAACTTTTATATAATCACATAGATATTTTAAGCCCTGTATCAGTAGTTGATAAGCTAATTAAAACAGGCAAAACGAGTCATCGATATACTTGACAAACCAAACATTTATTGTTGTAATGAACGAAAGACGATGGAAGCTCATATTGTTGATAAGGCAAAACGACCATGTAAAAACAGGTCTAAGCTTCACGATACTGTATTATAGTTGAGCTTAAGTCGTTTTTTTTTTTTGGAACAGAAGTACTAATGTATGCAGGCCAAATAATTTGCATTTTGTTAGATTTATTGTTTTGAACTAAATTTATGTTTCCATTGTTACAGGGAGGTCTACAATGCAATATGTCTAAGACTAGGCGATACATTACATATTCCAGAGGATTCGGTGAAGGCACTGTTCAATGACATGCACTTATTCCCTTCCGATACACAAGGTAAACTACAACAATTTTAATTGATTGAGTGAAAGTCGGGTTTTCAAATTTTACCACTGCCAATTCAAGTTTATTACGGAATTCGTATTTTTTTTAAGTATTTAATTTTTTTAATTTAATTTAATTAATTAACTAATAGCGACTATAGCCAAAACAATTATATACAGAGTGATTGATTTTAAATAAACACATATTTCGAGTAGATAACTACTTATTCAGTGTGCTTGATGGTTTTAGCTGCTGATTTGTGGCTTACGTTATCCTTAATAGTTCCATTTAGAAGCGTGATTATACCGAGTGATTCATAATTCAGAACAAATATTGAAGTCACGTATTTTTTGGGAAACTTATTTCACAAAAATCCACTTGCTCTAAACTGCAGACATAAAAAGAAACGTAAAAATATTTTTTAATTATTAAATTGCGGCTTTAAATCTGGTACAATCATTGAGACCATAAAGAATATTTATGGCCATAGTCTATGTTTTTCCTTTTGTTTGATAATGATGATACATTCGTTTTGTAAACAGAGAATTCTTGAAAACGATTGGTTGTATCAGGAAACTTTAAGGAATCAAAATTGAAGAGCTTTGTTTGATTTTGGCGCGGCAAATAACAATGTTCGTCTGGATAAAGATCGACTGTCCTCAGTAGATCCTAAAAACTTTTTGAATTATTAATGTCTGTAAAGTAAAGCGGACATGCAAATTGAGTTAAATTTTGAGGCAAAAGTGATCATATTTTTTAATTATTGATTCATTCATAAAAATTATCAGTTGGGTATATTAATGTGCAGAATAGAACTTTTCTACTGAACTTATACCGTGTATGGAGATTAGATATTAGAAATAGAAATAGTAAATAAGCTAATCTTTAAAGTGGCAATGCAGAGCAATGCTAGTTTCGCTTGATAAAAATATGAAATTACTTAATTATTTCCTATTTTAAATCAATATTTGGCCTGCATACATCAGTTCTTCTGTTCAAAATAAACGAACGACTGAAATGCTCAACTACAATACGATATCGTGAAGACTCCTTTTTTAACTTAATTTAATTAATGTAATATTTAAGCAAAAATAAAAGTATTTATCGGTTTTTCAAATTTCACGTCTACAGAATATTCAAAATATCACATTATCAAAGTATTCCAGATTGAGGTTTAAATGAACTGCACATGAAGAGCATATTGTTCTGTTTATTAATTATAAATTCAACTTGAAAAAAGTTGAATTATAGAAAAAATTAAACCCAAAATGTCTAACAGCAATCAAATATGGATCAATATTCAAGAAAATATGCCAGAAAGCTGCGCAAAAAACTGGAAACGCAAGGACACCAAAGAAATTTGAATTAATCAAAAGAAAGTTCTCATTTATTAATGAAATTTCATAATAAAGTTTTAAGACTGATAAATTGCAATCAAACTTAATTTAAAAAACAAGACTTAAGTTGCACGCTTTGAGCTAAGCTAACGGAAATGTTCGAGTACATTTCAAAGAAATCTGATCAAAATCCACTCAAAAGTAATACTTGCGCAATTAATTAAGTTTAACCGACTAAGCTGCATAAAAGGCAAAAATAACTGCGCAAAGAAAGGGCGCCAATTTTGAACATTTCAAACCGCGCTGAACAAGAGTGAAACAGCTGATAAGTTTTCTAAAAAAGTACATATTTTGAGGTGAAAGAAATCTGTGGTTATTTATATGGGTGGTATACTTGAGCTCCAACGGAAAACGACGGTCTGATTTCCCATCACGAGGAAGGAACTGAATTATGTTTTTGTTCTTTCACTATCCTAAATAAAGAATTAAAAAATGTAAAAGAGTCCACAAATTCTCGCTTTAACGACGAAGTGAACGCTTTACCAAGCGTTTTATTTAAATCTGCGTATCTGATCCAGTATGTGAAATCTTTGTAATTAACGATCGAATAAAAATTGCCCCGTATATTGGTATTCACACGTTCAAACTAGAACCGTTACGATTCTGTTTTGTGAAGCAAAAAGCGCACGAAAAATTTTTTGTGAGAGACTAAAAACTGTCTCTTTTATCTTTGATCTTTCAAATTACCTGAGTACTAAATAGGAAGTAAAATGCAATAGAAACTAGTAGATAATAATAAAAGATAAGAGAACATGTGCTATTTGCATCTTGTGTATTCGTCAGCGCCAATAAAGATTATTTTCTAAATCTTATCTGGGAAATTGTTACGCTTTTGGACAGAAATCGCATTATAAACATGTAATGCTCTCATACTATTTGAACAGTTCAGAGTGTTTTTCCAATGTGTTCATTTTACAGTTTATTTTGTGGTTCTTGCGATGCGGTGTTGCCCTTGTAGTAATTTTTATCATCGGTGGCAACAGCGAATACAGCTGTCAGGCATGTAAACAAAACCCTAACCCTAACCTGGCGCAAAAACAATGAAAACAAACATTTTATCAAAATTTAATTTTATGTTCCCAAACTGAATTTAACAACCTCCAAACAGCTGTGTTGGTGCGTGCTAAATTATGTGAATCAAGGTAATATTACTCCATAATACTAATTTTTATTGTATGCCGTTCAAACATTGGGAATTTGGGTCTTTTAAATAAATTGTTAAAGCTGATATAGGACGGAGGCCCATAACACAACGACTAGACAAAGACTCATTAAAGAACAATCCACTGTTTTATATTCACAAGTGAAACATTAATATATTAACATCAGCAACCCTAAGTTCTACTCAAAGTAGACACACAGATAAAGCCGGTGGAAAATAATTATATTAGACTGAAAATAATTCAGTTGTCTTCAGATGTACAGATTAACATGTTGTTTTATACCTGATTGAAATAATTCGCAATTGTGGCACAATGCATATAGATCGATTTAAACTTTTTGATTTAATTGAAGTTGTTACAATTCACGTTGAAACACCGTATCATGCAAAAAAGTTACATATCAAACTAATGTTGTTTTTAATGGAACACGCTGTTCCTGTCTACGGGAAAAATGGGGCCTAATATAGAAAACGCGAGCTGTTTGTATTATAATATAAAAAAATATGAAATTGTACTAGAAAATATAATAAATGTAGGTCCGTTTTACTAGCTATTTACTCAGGCAACAAAACAAACTAAAGCTAAAGGGAACATTTTACTACTTAATACAAATAGTCTGAATGTAAACTTTTGACTCAAATTTATCTCTTATTTTAAATTAGTCCCCTTAGGTTTACATCAAGAGAAGACAATTTTTCTCATAGCCAATATAACATTGTTTGATCAACTCAACCGTTATTGAGAAATTGCTATTTGCTACACGAATGTTAAAAGTTTTAATAAACTGACTTCTTATGTAAAAACAAGTTTAATTCAAGCTGAACTATGAACAACTATCATTGGTAACTAGTGAAGTCACACATTAAAACAATAATAATTTCAATAACAGAAATAAGTAAGGAAATTGAATCTTCGAAGTTGTAAACTTATGAATTAAGTGTTCAAAATGCGTTCCCTCTTCTTAATACAAACACAAGAATTCTCATTTACCACAATTATTTTGTCTTGACTGTAGAAATTGATGCACAATGCACCTCTAATTATTTCTTTATAACTACCTATGACAAAAATCATATCAGATTTTTCCGCTGTGGGAAAACATGTTGACTGTTTTTTATTTACTTATTAAAGCAATTTACAGAATTAATTTTTACACCCGACCATGTTAAAACATATAGGGTGTTTCACTAAAAACAAACGAAAAGTTTTATACAAAGCTTATTGGTATTAAATTGTATGAGGGTCATTTTAGTAGCCATAAATTACGCAGAATGAATTCAATTCAAGAGTGAATCAATTAAACTATTGAGCGGTTCTATATTTTTCATTATTTTGCCGTTCTTCGACATTATCTTAAAACGGATTACATTTTTCATATTAAGTCTTATTGAAACTTGCCTTAATTTTTGCAATAGAATTTTAAAATTTGACAATCACTTTCAGTTTTTCATTAAAGAACCATAACGGCATTTTGTTGGGAGTATTATCATCATTTTAACGGTAGAGTTGCTATGCCATAAATATCATTTTCTGACTATAGAGTGTTATTCCGATCGGGACTCAATCCATATTTTGATCTTTTAATCCTTATATTAGGATGAAAGACAGCATCTTTGCCGTCTTCCTTGTTTTCTTTGCACAACATAGTCAAAGCTGTTCTTATCTTCCTTTCCTATTTATTTGTAAGCTTTAATTGCAAATGCTTTCTGGAATTCTTGTTTTCCTCACACTCCTCATATGTAGCCTTTATATTTCTGAGTATTACGAGTATATATATCTTATCCCTAGAGGTGAAAAAGTATAAAATTGCTATAATCCGTTACCATTTGCCATGGTGTGTTAAGGAAAATTAAGTAGATGACCAGAGGTTTAGGATTATGGTCAATTAGTTTGTCTAAGTCCGCTTTCGGTATTTAAAAAAAAATACAGACGTATAAAGCTCGTTGTTTCCGATAAATACACTATTTATGACATTTTTTAATACACACACTGTATTTTGTAATTTTAAAGATCGATTTATTCCCAAAATTTTGATAACACCCCTATGTAATGTTCAAAATTGAAACCAAAAGTCTACAGGCTTTTGACTCGGAACAATGTTATCTTTATATTAAAAAATGTTGTTAATATAAATAGGTAATTAAGTAATTAATGTGACGCGGTATAAATGCTTCTTTTGTCTATGTTATGATAAATTCCAACGCAATGGCGTTGGTAAATGTTTACATTTTTTTTGGGTAATAAATATACATAAAGAGCACTGTATATCATTAATAATGGTTTATCGTACTATAGCTCAATTCTTGTTGTATAATATATTAATTTTCTAGATTTGGTAATATTTTGCTGGTTTCCAATAACTACAATGATATAAAAAGGTTTGGAATGAACAGCAGCGTTATCAAATAAATGATAAAATTTCGAATTTTCAAATCCCACTCGAGTGTAAATCAATCGCTTTATTTTTTAGACCTACCCATTTGATAAAATCTAATTTTGCCCAATTTTCCAATAAAATATAAGAAATTTTTCTTAATGGATTTAAGTGGAGCAAAGTCTAACTATTTTCAAACCTAGTATTTTGATATATCAACATTAAAAATGTTTAATTAAAAATTCTTATACAGTCATCAAGGAACAATTCACAAATAAAACGAAAATTAATATAAACATTTGAGCATCACTCACTGCATAATACTGTTAACTTTTAGTCACCCGAGGAACCAGTAGTCAATTTAAACAAACACGGCCGTTAATTTGAGCAAATTATGGGTTTATCTAAATATTTAAATGTCAGCTTCTTTGTTGAAACTAGAATCACTTTTAAGGATGCGGCATTCCATAACCATTATATTTCGTATGAAATCAAACAGAATTTTATGCCAGTTTTTTTTTTCAGTAACAAAAATGCTCCAGTGTGCTAGGCAGTACAGTAAAAAAAATGGCAGCAATCCAAATGGCCTTACCTTTAGTGAAATGTGCGTTTTCGTCAGGGAAATGCAGAATTACCAAAGCTCCAAAGCGCACCGGAAATTAGCTCAACAAAAAGTAAATAGTACGTATATATAATATAAATTATAAAATATTCGCAGTATTTAGAATCCAAGTTGTTTATTTCAGAATGTCCTAACGGCAGATGCGAAGTATTTTTGGGGGGATCTTGCAATCCAACTACCTGGAGAGCGGATACTGCTATTCCGGAACTGCAGAAACATGGCATCAGTTTTTACAATCCCGTAAGTACCACAAGATCCAATACATATTCAGTAAAACTTGCAATTTTTATTATTTTTTCAGCAAGTTTCAATTTGGGCACCAGAACTTCTAGCTCAGGAACATGATGCTAAACAGTCAGCTTCAGTATTGCTGTTCGTCATCGATAGTCAAACAAGAAGTACTGTGGGAATGCTGGAAGTCGCATATCTAGTGGCGTGTGGACGGTGTGTGATCGTTGTGGCTCAACCTTATAGGATAGGACAAACTATAATGGGAGAAGTTATTACAGACAAGTAAGTTTTTTCAGATAGCTTGCCAATCTAGAGCAGAGCCTAATCGATTTTTTTTATTCAGGGAATATTACGATTTAGTTCAAGGACAGAAATCTCTACTAGATCTAATAAAGTCCAAAGGAGTGCAAATCCATACCAACCTGTCTACGGCGTTGCAGTGTACGGCTGATATTTTGAAAAATGTGGCTGTAAACGGAACTAGTCCTGAAGAACAAATCACCTACAAGCTGAGGTACGCGCTAGGCCAGAACGTTAATTAGCCCACATGCCATTTAACAACCAGATTGTATTAAAACTTGACTTGCATTATTTGAAACTTGATATATTGCGTAATCGCATCTACACAACAACGTAACTAGACAATAATATGTAAAGCATCCATATATATAGCTATATAATACGGAAGATTGTGGCTAAACTATTTTGAAATGTATAGGGTGTCTCAATTACTAGAATCAACCCAAAGTTACTTTTTATAAATTAAATACCCTGCATATTATTTTGCAAGTGCATCAATGATAAAAATAATTGTCAGTTCTACTCATCTTTTATCATATCTTGCTTAAAGAATATGGTTTATAAGGAATTTGGTGCTTTATAGAAATAAATTTGGGTCATTTCTCAACGTCCATTTCGCACCTTAATAGAACACGCATTCATTTTTATCGCAGACACTAATCGCACATTAATATTATTATTATTGTTATTATGGGTGTTTCATACAAAAATCTGTGAAAATTAACTAAACTGCTCAACAAAACAAAGGTTACGAGGTCAAATTCGCCCGCACTAAGGAATTGGATAATTTTTAATTGCTGCTAGCAATTTGATTTATGTTGAGTTGTGCTTTTGCAAAAAATTAGTGCTTCAAATAATGTCTTTACACGGTGGCAAATAAAACAATGCAA